GAAGTGGACTCCTGGGTTTTTTGCCTGGGGTAGCAGGACAGAGAAGGGTGCCATTGCTAACACAGGGAATGGACAAAGCAGGAGTTTTTTGTTTTGTTTTGTTTTTTAAAGATTTTATTTATTTGAGAGAGAGAGAGAGAGTGAGAGAGAGCCCAAGAGGGGGTAGGGTCAGAGGGAGAAGCAGACTCCCTGCCGAGCAGGGAGCCCGACATGGGACTCGATCCCAGGACTGCGGGATCATGACCTGAGCTGAAGGCAGTCGCAAAGCAGGAGTTTTTGAATCTGAGGTCTCTGAGACCATCCAAGGGGAGACAGCCATTCAGAAGGTACGGTGTTCTTGCCGCTCCCTCTTGTTTGAGCACCATGGGCAAGCCCCCGTAGCACCTGCAGTCCCGGGTGTGAGCAAGCAGCCTGAGGGCCTAGAGCGTGAGAAGACCCAGGAGGGACGGTTGAGCAGTGACGCAGTGATGGAGCAGACGGAGGAAGAGGGCCAAAGGGCCTGAGGTGTCGCCGGGGCAGGGGGGCATTTGCCAGGACAGAAGGGGGTCTGAAAAGATAGGAAGTGGCCAAATGTTTCGGAGAAACAAAATGAGACGACTATGACTGACTTTGAAACTGAGGTACCTGATATTTGGAGCAAGTTCAGTGGCGCGAATGGAGTAGAAACTGGATTTCACGGGGCTGAAGGGTGAACAAAAGTAAAGAGGTATGGGAGCCGGGAGAGGGGGCTGGAGGTAATCTAGGGATGCTTTTCCTCTTCTGGAGCGTGAGGAGTCAAAGACCTTCTGAAATTGGTAAAATAATTAGAGAATTACGTCAACAGAAACCAAGAGACCTTAGCATAACGTAACTGTTCCCAGCACTAGCAGAGACGTCCGTGAGCTCCGTTCCTGCCCTCGCACAGCCGGGAATGAGGAGACACTAAAGCTGGCAAATCGGGAGAGATACGGGCGTATTAGCTAGAATGATGCTAGAACTCAGAAGACAGGAAGGGTTTGCAGGTCCGTCCGTCTGGAGTGTGGAAATGAGGGGTGGATGGGCAGGAGCCATGCAGTTCCATGTTTGCTGTGCTTTTCCTCCACCCTGTGCAGCTGTTACAGCCCTCGGGTGTGATCTGTGACAGCTTAGGAAGTAGAGCACAGCCCAGTCTGGTTAGGAAAGGAAGCGGGGCCAGCGACACGGCTGCCCTGCGGCCGTCACAAAGGGGAGTCCCTCTCCAAAACCACCCAAGCGTTTGGACCTAGAACACCGGGGTTAAGTCGTTTGCCTCTTGATTCCACAGGTTCGGGGTGAGGGGATGGGCACCTTGGGCTCGCTCTCCCTGCCCCTCTCGGAGCTACTCGCGGCTGACCAGCTCTGCCTGGACCGCTGGTTCACGCTTAGCAGTGGTCAAGGGCAGGTGCTGCTGCGGGCACAGCTTGGGGTGAGTGCCAGGACCTGGCGGGCCGGGGGGACGGAGACCAGCGGCCGTGTTCTCACAGCCAGGGCGCTGAGCGGGCCCGGCCCAGTCACCGCTCTCTCGCCTGCCCAGATCCTGGTGTCGCAGCACTCGGGCGTGGAAGCGCACAGCCGCAGCCGCTCCTCTCTGAGCGAAGACCCGGAGCTCGGCGGGGGGCCCCCGCCCAGCGCCTCCTCGGCGACAGAGCTGCGGCAGCGCCTGCCACCCGGCGACAGGTGAGCGGCCGGAACGTGGAGGATGAGCTGCGCGGCCCCTGGGCCCCGCCCCCTCCCAGCCCTGTCTCCGTCTCCCACAGCGCGCTGGAGGCCCCAGCCGGGCCGCTGGGCCAGGTGAGGCTGACCGTCTGGTACTACAGTGAAGACCGGAAGCTGGTCAGCATCGTTCACAGCTGCCGGTGAGACCCCCGTCCGCCCTCCCGTCCCGGCTCCTGGCCGCCCTCCCCTTGGGCTGCCTTCTCACCTTCACCTTCCTGTGCAGGGCCCTTCGGCAGAATGGACGGGAGCCCCCTGACCCCTACGTGTCACTCGTGCTGCTGCCAGACAAGAACCGGGGCACCAAGAGGAAGACGTCACAGAAGAAGAGGACGCTAAACCCTGACTTCAATGAACGGTCAGTCAGTAGGCATTCAGGTGGAGCTGGGCGGCTCGGCAGGGAGCCCCTGCCTCTAACACCCAGCTGCCCCCGCACCCCCCTCCGCCAGGTTTGAGTGGGAACTGCTCCTGGATGAGGCCCTGAAGCGAAAGCTGGATGTCTCTGTGAAGTCTAATTCCTCCTTCATGTCAAGAGAGCGTGAGCTGCTGGGGAAGGTAAGAGGGCGAGGATGAGCAAGGCGGAGGTAAGGCTTGGGAGCTGCTGGGAGCAAGGCTGTCATCCCTCAGGGACTTAGGGAGGAAGCACCGCAGGTGACACTCCTACACGTGTGACCCGATCCCCTCGGCACTGGTCTGGAGCAGGAGTGTGTGACGATGGGATGTGTTCTCTGGAGACCTCAGAGTAACATCTGGCCCCCACCATCCTCCAATGCAGGTGCAGCTGGACCTTGCTGAGCTAGACCTTTCCCAGGGAGCGGCCCAATGGTGAGTATCTGGTGGGCTGGGGGTGGGCCTGGAGAGTTAAGCAGGAGAAATCCCAATCATGGGAAGGGAGAAAAGAATGCATGCTGAGGGGGCGCCTGGGTGGCTCAGTTGGTTAAGCGACTGCTTTCGGCTCAGGTCATGATCCTGGAGTCCCAGGATCGAGTCCCACATCGGGCTCCCTGCTCTGCGGGGAGTCTGCTCCTCCCTCTGACCCTCCCCCCTCTCATGTGCTCTCTCTCTCATTCTCTCTCAAATAAATAAATAAAATCTTTAAAAAAAAAAAAAAAAAAGAATGCATGCTGAGGGGAGAACCAGTGACTATCTGCAGTACAAGAGCCCTTGGGTCATGCTTCATTTCTAAGAGGACGCAAGTCCCCTTTCTGCCTGAGCCTTCTCTGCTTCTTCCCACAGGTATGACCTCGTGGATGACAAGGACAAGGGCAGCTCCTAGGAGCCAAAGATTCCCAGCCTGATCACCGTCTCCTTGCCTTGCCCCTCGCTGCATCACCACCTCAATGTGATGAGCCTAAAGCTAGGGCCCGAGGGCAGAGTCTGTGCCCCTCAGCCCTCTCCCCTTCCAGGCCCGGGCTGGGGCCTTTGCCTGACCAAAGAGGAGGACCACATGTCGCCCTTTACTGCATGGCCTTTATCCTTCTGGGCTCCCGGGGCAGAGAGCCAAGCTGGCTGTTTCCCGCTCCGCCTGCACAGCCTCCTCCTTTCACCCCAACTGCTCAGGGCCCTCTGTGCCTGTGCCGGCCACTGGCAGCACCAACAGTGGCCTTCGCTCATGCCAAATACAGCTTCTGGAAAGACCTCTTCTCCTTAATCGGATGGCCGCCTTCTTCCCCACCATGCACGGTCAGGGAGGGCAAAGCCATGGGGGGGGAGGTGGACGGGCTAACCACTCAAGCCAAGAGCCTCTGGGACTACTGCGTGTCGTCAGCGTACGGTAACCCAGGTGCCCGTGTCCAGTTCTGCGCCCCCCTTCTCCTCAAGTCTGTCCCGAAAATTACACCTGCTGTGATGACTAGGGCCAGTTTTTTGATTCACTCTGGGAACGAGAACGCTCAGCCACTCCTTGAAGACTTAGAATCTCTATCAGTCTTGGGGCCTCTGGCTGGTGCCTTGCGGTGGGCCTTGGAGGACTGGAGCCAGCCGGGCCGGTATTTGGTTCAGGTGTCTAGGCTGTTAACTCACTGACTAGAACTGAATCTCTTGGTTTTGCACCAACTCTGCCAATCCTCTGTATCTTATATTAAACATTATACTCAAACCAGCTGTGGCTCTTTTTCTTAAGGACAGGGAATCCAGCCTACTGTCACTATTTGCAGGTGACATATTACATAGAGGAAATCCTAAAGACTCCACCAAAAAACCGTTAGAACTAAAAATTCAGTAAAGTTGCAGGGTACAAAATCAACATACAAAAATCTGTCGCATTTCTATACACCAACAGCTATTTGGTAAAACAATCCCACTTACAGTTGCTTCAAAGAGAATAAAATACCTAGAAATAAATTTAACCAAGGAGGCGAAAGACCCGTACACTGAAAAATTTGCGACATTAAGGAAAGGAACTGAAGACACAAATGACACGACATTCCATGCTCAGGGACGCAAGTATTGTTAAAATGGCCATACTATCCAAAACAAGCTAGTCAATGCGTTCCCTATCAAGAGTCCAATGGCATCTTCCACAGAAATAATCCTAAAATGTGTATGGAACCACAAAAGTCCCCAAACAGCCAGAGCAATCTTGAGAAGAACAAAGCCAGAGGCATCACACTATGTGATAAAGCTACAGTAATCAAAACGGTATGGTGTTGGCATAAAAACACACAGATAAACAGAACAGAGAGCCCAGAAACAAACCCACACCATACAGGCTTCCCCTGCTATCTGAAAGTACAGCGTTCCTGTGAAACCTTTTGTACACCAAAATGACTGATATAAAGTGAAAAATCAATTACCGTTAATTGAGACGGAGAAATTTTTGAGAATTCCCAGACCCCACAAATAATCTCTTTTAGGCATCTCAGACACATCTTGCTAACGGACATACAAAATAAATTCAAATAAGGCACAGATGCTCCTAGTCCAAAGCTCTGGCATTCGGATGCTGCATGTATGCCTAGGAAGAAACTTGGGGGGCCACTCTCCCAGTGTGGGGTGCTCACTGCCTCCATGATGGCTCACTGGCAAAACAAAAGCTGAATGACATTTTTGCTTTTTACCCTTCTTCGTAAAAGCAAAAACCCCCTTCGGATTTCTTTTGGTTAGTGAAAACAAGTCTTAATGTAGGTCTTTCTTAAAAGCAAAGTGGCCTAACGTGAACTTTCACAAAGCAGGGGTTATCTGCGTAAGGCTAACTACTTTATGACAAAGGAGCCAAGTATCCTAGAGAATGGGGAAAGGACAGTCTCTTTAATAAATGGCACTGGGAAAACTAGACAGCCACATGCAAAAACAATGAGACTGGACCACTATCTTACACCCTACACAAAAATTAACTAAAAATGGATTAAACACTTGAATGTAAGACCAGAAACCACAAAACTAGAAAAAATATGCGATAAGCTCTTTGACATAGGTCTTGGCAATGACTTTTTTTTTAAAGATTTTATTTATTTATTTGAGAGAGAGAATGAGAGAGAGAGAGCACATGAGAGGGGGGAGGGTCAGAGGGAGAAGCAGACCCCCTGCCGAGCAAGGAGCCCGATATGGGACTCGATCCTGGGACTCCAGGATCATGACCTGAGCCAAAGGCAGTCGCCTAACCAACTGAGCCACCCAGTCGCCCAGCAATGACATTTTTTTTTTTTAAAGATTTTATTTATTTATTTGACAGAGAGAGAGCGAGAGCAGGAACACAAGCAGGGGGAGTGGGAGAACGAGAAGCAGGCTTCCTGCCGAGCAGGGAGCCCGATGTGGGACTTGATCCCAGGACCCTGGGATCATGACCTGAGCCGAAGGCAGACGCCCAACGACTGAGCCACCCAGGCGCCCAGCAATGACATTTTTTAATGTGATACCCGAAAGCAAAGGCAACAAAAGCAAAAATAATCACCTACATCAAACTAAAAAGTTCCCGCACCGCATACGAAACCAACAAAATGAAAAGGCAAACTACCGAATGGGAGAAAATATTTGCAAATCTGATAGGGCATTAATATTTGAAATATATAAAGAACTCACACAACACAATAACAAAAAAAAAGAAATCCAATTAAAAAAATGGGCAGATCTGAATAGACATTTTTCCGAAGACGTACAGATGGCCAACAAGTACCTGAAAAGATAGCCACCATCACAAATCATCAGGGAAATGCAAATTTAAACCACAATCAGACATCACCTCACACCTGTTAGAATGGCTATCATCACAAAGACAAGAAATAACAAGTGTGGGTGAGAAAAGGAACCCTCGTACACTGTTGGTGGGATATAAACTAGTGCAAGCACTAGGGAAAACAGCACGGAGGGCCCTCAAAAAATTAAAAATAGAACTCCCATGTGATCCAACAATTCCACTTCTGGTATACATCTAAAGGAAATCACTACCTCAAAAAGATACCTGAACCCCCATATTCACTGCAGCATTATTTACAATAGCCAAGACAGGGAAACAACCTAAGTGACCACTGAAGAATGAATGGGTAAAGAAATGTGGGGTGTGCATGTGTGTATACACACACACACATACACTCATACACACACATCGGAATATTATGCAGTCATAAAAGGAAGAAAGTCTTACCACTTGCAACAACATGGATGGACCTCGAGAGCATTATGCTAAGTGAAACAAGTCAAAGCCAAATACTGTATGATCTCACTTACATGTGGAATCTAGTAATAATACTAAAAAAAAGCTCATAGATACAGAGAACATATTGGTGATTCCAGAGGTGGAGGTTGGGGGATGGGAGAAATGGGTGAAGGGGGTCAAAAGACACAAACTTCCGGGGCACCTGGGTGGCTCAGTCGTTGGGCGTCTGCCTTCGGCTCAGGTCACAATCCCAAGGTCCTGGGATCGAGCCCCGCATCGGGCTCCCTGCTCTGCGGGAAGCCTGCTTCTCCCTCTCCCCCTCCCCCTGCTTGTGTTCCCTCTCTCGCTGTGTCTCTCTCTGTCAAATAAATAAAAATAAAATCTTTAAAAAAAAAAAAAGACACAAACTTCCAGCTATAAAATAAGACCTGGGATGCAACGTACAGCATCGTGACTATGGTTAATAATACCATACTGTATATTTGAAAGTTGCTAAGGCAAGAGATCTGAAAAGTTCTCATCACAAGGAAAAAAATTTGTAACTACGGAAGGTGGTAGATGTTAACTGTTAACTAGACTTACTGTTCATCATTTTGAGATGTATACAAATAATATGTTGCATACCTGAAACGAATTTAATGTTCTATGTCAATGTTAATTTTTTTAAATAAAAAAGGGAAAAAATGCAAGCTAAACTTAAAAAAAAAAAAAAGGCTTTCGATTTATGAATCATGTCAATTTAATTAGTGGTCACAACCTACTGTGGATGCAGCCACTGAGAATGTTGGTTCCGTTGAGGATGGTCAAGGGACCTGTGTGAAGTGGCTCCTTTTGAGTTTCTCAGTAAGACTCATTCCCAGTCGGGGCGCCTGAGTGGCTCAGTCGTTAAGCATCTGCCTTCGGCTCAGGTCATGATTCCAGGTCCTGGGATCGAGCCCTGCATCGGGCTTCCTGCTCAGCAGGAAGCCTGCTTCTCCCTCTCCCACTCCCCCTGCTTGTGTTCCCTCTCTCGCTGTGTCTCCCTCTGTCAAATAAATAAATAAAATCTTTAAAAAAAAAAAAAAAGGAAAGACTCGTTCCCAGTCACAGGGACGAATGAAGGCAGTTACCCGTCTGCCGTCCGCTGTCCGTTATGATCTCGTGGGCTGTGCAGGGAAAGGACTCCTAAGCCGTGAACCTGGAAGCTCTGCGCCCCAGCACGGGACCACAGTGTGTCTTAGTGGCAGGTGTCACCATATCCACAAAGGCTTCAGGCCTACGTGATGGGCTGCAAAATGAGAAATATTTTCTAACCATTCAGATATGCTCACTTTGAGCTCTGCTCCCTTTGGACCCTTCCTTAAATGGCAGCTAGAGAAGCTGCACTCTGTCCAACTACCAGATGGAAAGAGAGTGGGGAGGGGGTGGGGAGGAAGAGCAGATTACTGAAAATAGGCTCCGTGGACCAGGTGATTTCAGAACTGCCTTTGGAGGGGGGGGGATGCTTTATCATCTTCTCTGGAAGAATATAAACCTTAGGATGCTGTCCACTGGGAGGAGAGGAAAGGCTCAGGGGGATAAAACTAAACTCAGTTCCACAAGGTGTTGTCAAAATTCACCTTATTAGCAAAAGCTGAATTTAAACTTCATGCCACCCATGAACGAAGCTCCTATTTTTTTTCAATAACTCTTGTGTACTCACTGCTGGTCTTCTGCTGTCTCCGTTTCCTTCCCATCAACTTAAGAGGATTCTCAAGGGGCGCCTGGGTGGCTCAGTCGTTAAGCGTCTGCCTTTGGCTCAGGTCATGATCCCAGGGTCCTGGGATCGAGCCCCACGTTGGGCTCCCTGCTCGGTGGGAAGCCTGCTTCTCACTCTCCCACTCCCCGTGCTTGTGTTCCCTCTCTTGCTATCTCTCTCTCTCTGTCAAATAAATAAATAAAATCTTTTTTTTTTTTTTTAAAGAGGATTCTCAAGCCTTGACCATGAGCAAGAGGACACAGCTGCCCTCCCCCCAACCCAGAAACTTAATTGAGGAAGGAAAACCCAAGGGCAGAGAAACTTGTATTTCTAAAGTCTCTTATCGAGTTGTTCAATACTGGGCGTGTGGCCCAAGGCCTGCTGGCCTAGCTGGCTTCAGATAATACAAACAGGGATCTTGCAATGTGTGATTTTAAGAAGCACTCTTGGTCTGGGCGCCTGGGTGGCTCAGTTGGTTAAGAAGCACTCTTGGTCTAGTTCATCATTCAAGTAATTACATTTCCAGAAAACTAGAGGACATGGCACAAATTCTCCCATCCAGAAGGTCCCTAATCTTTCCCAACCTTTGCCAGTTAGGGGCATATAAGGGAGGAGGTACTGATCTACATACTAAATGCAAGACGAGACACAATTCAGTACATTGTTGTACTTATATAGACAAAGATGGAACAAATTAAGGGTCATTAATCACAAGAATTAAACAAATGTACATCTGTTACTTCTCAAACAGCCGGCCTTGGACACTAACACATACAGGATGCCTGCCTCTTCCGGAGAAAGGTAGATACCAATGCGTACGGGGACACTGTCACCAATGTCTGCAAATATGACCCTCTTTTTTTTTTTTTTTTAAGTTTTATTTATTTAACTAATCTCTACCCTCCGTGTGGGGCTCGAACTCACAAGCCAAGATCAGGAGTCATAGGTTCGGAGCTCGCCAGGCACCCCACAAATACTACTCTCTTGAAATGTGGCGGGGCACCTGGGTGGCTCAGTCGGTTAAGTGACTGCCTTCGGCTCAGGTCATGATCTCAGGGTCCTGGGATCGAGTCCCGCATCGGGCTCCCTGCTCGGTGGGGAGCCTGCTTCTCCCTCTCCCTCTGCCTGCCTCTCTGCCTACTTGTGCTCTCTATCTCTGTCAAATAAATAATAAATAAAAATCTTTAAAAAAAAAAAAAAAGAAATGTGGCTTTACAGGCCCAACGGGCTGTGGTCCACTGGGTGTGGCAGTACCGTCGACTGCCCAACAGCCGTTTCCCCTCTTCCCGACATACGGAATCCCAGAGCATTCCTGGTGGCAGCGTGCCGGCCCTGGGGCGCTCATCACGATCCTCTCTGCTAGATACTCTTTCCCAGCCTCCCCTGTAACTTGGGGTGGCTCTGTGTAGCCCCAGCTTTAGTCAGTAAGATGTAAGAGGAACTCAGTTGGGGACTGGAGTGTCAACAGAAGAAAGCCCTCACTGCCTCCTTCCTTTCTAGTTGGGTCACTGTAGGAAGGATGTGACGCCTGGAGCTGAAGCAGCCTTCTTTAAGGCCATGAGGTGACCAACATAAGGAGGAAAAACTAACTTGATTAAGGAATACATATTTTAAAAATTAGGATCATGCGGCATATACATACAATGAAATATTATTTAGCCATTAAAAAAAAAAGGAAAACCTGCCACTTGCAACAATATGGATGGACCTCTAGGGCATTATGCTAAATGAAGTTAAGTCAGAGAAAGGCAAATACTGGGGCGCCTGGGTGGCTCAGTCGTGAAGCGTCTGCCTTCGGCTCGGGTCATGATCCCAGGGTCCTGGGACTGAGTCCTGCATCGTGCTCCCTGCTACGCGGGAAGCCTGTTTCTCCCTCTCTCACTCTCCCTGCTTGTGTTCCCTCTCTTGCTGTGTCTCTGTCAAATAAATAAATAAAATCTTTAAAGAAAAAAAAAAAAGGCCTACTCAAGGGGCGCCTGGGGGGGGCTCAGTCGGTTAAGCGTCTGCCTTCTGCTGGGGTTGGGATTCCAGGGTCCTTAGATCGAGCCTCGCATCGGGCTCCCTGCTCCTTGGGAAGCCTGCTTCTCCCTCTCCCATTCCCCCTGCTTGTGTTCCCTCTCTCGCTGTGTCTCTCTCTGTCAAATAAATAAATAAAATCTTAAAAAAAAAAAAGGCAAATACTGTATGACCTCACTTAACTGTAAAAACAAAACACTGAGCTCACAGATTCAGAAAACAGAATGGTTGTGAGGGGAGGGGAGGGACAGCTCCGATTGTAGGAGAAATAGGCGAAGAGGGTCAAAAGGAACAAACTTCCAGTTATAAAATGAATAAGTCCTGGAGATGTAATGTACATGTGCATGGGAACTATAGTTAATAATACTGTAGTGCATATTTGAAAGTTGCTAAGATTAGAGGTGAGTTTTCATCATAAGAAAAAAATTTTTTTCTAACTATGTGTGGTGATGGACGTTAATTAAAACTCATTGTGGTGGGGTGCCTGGGTGGCTCAGTCGGTTAAGCATCTGTCTTCGGCTCAGGTCATGATCCCGGGGTCCTGGGATCGAGCCCCACATCGGGCTCCTTGCTCTGCGGGAAGCCTGCTTCTCCCTCTCCCTCTGCTGTTCCCCCTGCTTGTGTTCCCTCTCTCTCTCTCTGTCAAATAAATAAATAAAATCTTAAAAAAAAACCAAAAACTCATTGTGGTGATTATCTCACAATGTATAAAAATACAGAATCACGTTACACACCTAAAACTAATGTTACATGTCCATTATACCTCAATAGAAAGAAGAAAAAGGGGGCGCCTGGGTGGCTCAGTCGGTTAAGTGTCTGCCTTCAGCTCAGGTCATGGTCCCAGGGTCCTGGGATCGAGCCCTGCATCGGGCTCCTTGCTCTGCAGGGAGCCCACTTCTCCCTCTCCACCCCGCTTGTGCTCTCTCACTGTCTCTCCTTCTCTCTCTCTCAAATAAATAAATAAATAAAAATCTTAAAAAAAAAAAAAAAAGAAGAAAAAGGACTAAAAATCTAGGATCAGGCAAATAAGAGTGATTATATACACAAAACTGAACATAAGAAAGGTACAAAGAATAAAGGGGAGCTAAGAGAGCATCTGAGGGGCCTTATATCACCTCTGCAAACCTATGTCTACATAACACTTCCAACCCACTCTACCCCTTAAAATTCTTTACCTTTATTTACACAAAGCTCACTCTGGCCTCCTCTGAAATCTGGCTTACCTCCCAAGAGACCTCACTCACCTGGAGCACCCTCAAGGGGAGACTGCTCCCTTCCGTGAACCCCATATTCTTATACTGGGAGGTGGGGTCCACATTCTCCTTGCATCCCAATGCTGCTTCCCCACTGTTACTCTCAGAGCAGTAAAAATCTCAGCTCCTTTGGAGTTGATGCCAATCTGATACACCGTCTCTACCTTCTCTCATCTCTGTCATTCACTAAATACACAGGCACTCAATAGTTACTGAAGGGTATGGCACCCGGAATACTGTTGCCATCCTGGCGTCTTCAATGTATAAGGCAATAATTAACATCATAGTTCCTCACTGGGGTGGACAATGTAGGTTCCCTCCCCAATGTCCTTTCTACTCCTCCCCATTTGGACTGACTCCAATACACCTCCAATGGCAGACAAACCCTGACTGGCCCGTCAGAGTAACACCATCCTCTTTGTCACAGGGGCGGGCAAAACCCCCATGCCCAAGCCAAACAGGGCACGTTATTTCCCTAGTCATGGTGATTAATTCAAGGGTTGATGGGCATTTTTCTGTCAGTCTAGTTAGAGTGAAGTTCAGGAACTGATTCCAATGGTGAAGAAAAGCTCACTCTGCTGCGCCTGGCTGGCTCAGTCAGTAGAGCATGAGACTCCTAATCTCAGGGTCATGAGTTCAAGCCCCATGTTGGACGTAAAGCCTATTTAAAAATAATAATAATAAATACTTCCAAATTAAAAAAAGAAAAGCTCCCTCTCTTCCTCTTGTGGTATAAGGATGTGATACCTGTGCAGCTCAGCGGGGGAATCCAAGTAAGAAGCTAACAAATGGAGGACAGTGACAAGAAAATTAGAAAATCCCTTTGCGATGTCATGAAATCTCTGGATCAAAATGAACTTGAATCCCACCCTACCTCTTGACTTTTCAATTGCATAAGCCAACGAATCCTCTTTATTGGTTAGCCAGTTTTAGTCAGATTTTTGCTATTTGCAACTGAAAAAGCCCTAAGGAACATTCTCCTCAGATCCAATAACCTTCACCTCCCTACCCTTTCAATCATTCACTCTCATGGCCACTCAACCTAGTTCCTGTCTTCCTCTATATCCTTTGAAATTTTAATCTCAAATGCACTATTTTCTCCAACTATCTTACTTCTTCAACCTCGAGACCCAAGCCTGTTGATGACTTTCTATAGTCTCTCAATCTAATAGGCCACCTTTTTTTTTTTTAAAGTAAGCTCTACACCAAATGTGGGGCTTGAACTTATGACCCTGAGATCAAGGGTCGCACGCTCTATCCTCTGAGCTAGCCAGATGCCCCAATAGGCCACTTTTATACTCATTTCTCTATGTGGCCCAGACCACAAACCCTCTTGGACTCAGACTCCCAATCGCTTCCATGGTCATCCATCATCCCTACCCCACAACACTGTTCTAGCTCATTCATCCAAGCAGCTGAGTACTGCTGAACGGAGGAGATCACTCCCTCGTGGGTTGGTTCCATTACAAGCTCGATCTCCCACAGCAACCGCCCTCCATGCTGCCCAGCAAGTTCATGCAGGGAGCACACAGCAGACACTCGGGAAATGTCAAATGAGCATCTGTGACGGGGTCCCCAGTAAGCTGTCTCCCGCTTTTCATCACACCTGTTTCAAACCTTCACGACTTTCTCAAGCCACCTCCTCCTCTTTCTTATTTTAGTAAATCAATCACCTCATGTTCTACTACATGGTAAAAATACCTGGGAACTCTCTCGATCTCCTGAATCCCGAATCTATCTCCCTATAAGTAACTTACTAGTGTCAGTTCCCTTTTATCCAGCTAGCCATTCATTCTCCAGATATTTGACTGCCCAGTACATGCCAGGCACTGTACTCTGCTCGGCCCTAGAAAGAGTGTGTGTTGGCAGGGAGAGGGGGCAGAGACAGAAAGGACGTGGCAACAACCTGAGAAAAGGGAACATGGCCCCTTTGAAGATCCGAATGCTAGTAGATGTGGCTAGTATAGAGGTGGGGCCGGAACAAGCAGTCAGTGTTTGAAGCTGCTGGGGTTTGCGGGCCAACTAAAGATTTAGTCTTTATCAAAACACATGGAAGGATTTTAGGTAGGGAGATGACATGATCAAATGCACATTTTGAAAAGATCACTCCTCTTATTAAAGCTGTAGTTACCTATGTTAGTTTGTTCTCTGTCCTTTCTGTAGCTAAAAATATTTCAAATAGATTCCCAGGCCCTAACACAGACCTAGAGTCAGAATCTTTGGGGGCAGAGTCTGGAAGTTTGTCTGTTTACAAAGCTCCCAGGAGAACAGCTAAGTCGGAGAACCACTGTTTTAGAGCATTAAAAAAATGAAGCTAGCGTACTTACCATAAAACGTATTTTTCTGCTTCTATCTTGCATCTAGTGTGGGCTTACAAAAACGGGACTTGGGGCACCTGGGTGGCTCAGTTGGTTAAGCGACTGCCTTCGGCTCAGGTCATGATCCTGGAGTCCCAGGATCGAGTCCCGCATCGGGCTCCCTGCTCAGCGGGGAGCCTGCTTCTCCCTCTGACCCTCCCCCCTCTCATGTGTGCTCTCTGTCTCTCTCATTCTCCCTGTCTCAAATAAATAAATAAAATCTTTAAAAAAAATAATAAATAAATAAATAAATAAATAAATAAATGGGACTTGGAAAAGACTTTATAAACTACTCATGTATCATAAAACATCCTGGTTATGGGTTACCATGAATACCACTTCCTGGTCAAAATGCCAAAGGACTGAAGACATTTTTCCTAATAAATTCTCTCCTATTTACTTAGGAAATAGTGTTCGCTCTTCCTAAACTATTATGCACCTTAACACATTAGCTAGTGTTCAAAGAGCTAGTTAAGCTCTATAGGGTGAACCCACAATTATAGTTAAGCTCTACAGGGTGAACCCACAATTATTCAAGTAACTGAAGATCTATAAGTGCTGTGAAATTCCTAAAGTTGTTCTACTAGTTTTTGGTTTTTTTTCTTGTTTTTCAAGAGAGAGAAAGTGCATGCACAGGCATGCAGGGGGGAGGGGCAGAGGTAGAGAGAGAACGTTAAGCAGGCCCCAAGCCCAGAGTGGAGCCCACATGAGATCATGACCTGAGTCAAAATCAAGACTCAGATGCTCAACGGATGCTCAACCGACTGAGTCACCTAGGCGTCCCTGTTCTTAGTTTTTTGGGTTTTTTTTTAAAGATTTTATTTATTTATTTGAGAGAGAGAGAGAAACCACATGAGAGGGGGAGGGTCAGAGGGTGAAGCAGGCTCCCTGCCAAGCAGGGAGCCCGATGCGGGACTCGATCCAGGGACTCCAGGATCATGACCTGAGCTGAAGGCAGTTGCTTAACCAACTGAGCCACCCAGGCGCCCTGTTCTTAGGTTTTTTAATGTGTATGTTTCTTTTACTTTTAAAGACTTGCCCTTTCTAATTATTTTATGTTGAAAGTAATATTAGAATAAATATGCAATCCCTAAAAACATACAAATCACATGCTATGCGGGGAGAGAGGAGAGAGGCATTTGTCACAGAAAATCCACATACATGTTGTAGAAATCACTTATGCCCGGTTAAGATCATGTTCAGTACAGTTTGCATTATTTATGATTAAAAGACAAGAATGTACAAAAAATGAAGGCCATTCCTCCAATCTGTTTGCCAAGAGCCTTCATGTTTTCTCTTTGCACTACTTTTTTTTTTTTTTTTAAGATTTTATTTATTTATTTGACAGAGAGAGACACAGCGAAAAAGGGAACACAAGCAGAGGGAGTAGGAGAGGGAGAAGCAGGCTTCCCACTAAGCAGGGAGCCCGATGCGGGGCTCGATCCCAGGACCCTGGGATCCTGACCTGAGCTGAAGGCAGACACTTAACCATCTGAGCCGCCCAGGCGCCCCTGCACTACTTCTTTATAAAGCAGACAAAAATGCTATAAAGTCAGATGATGCCATAACCGCTTCTACTTGACAAAGTGCCAAAAGAGGGCTACAGCTAGACCAAGGGGAAGAGGAAAAAAAAAATCAGATAAACCGCATTTTCCAAATCAACTACTGCTGACATGATGAAAGACACAAAAAGGCATTTGTGATACAGCTCTTCACAGCCTTGTAACCAAACACTTATAAGAAACGTATTTCTTCTTCCTGCATTTCTTCAGGCCCAGTGATCCTTTATGGATATAAAATGGGGAAATACCAACTACTTCATATATTGGGAAGAGTAAAGGAAATTTATTTCACAAACACATACTAGTTACTCTGTGCCAGGCCCATTCTATTTTACAAATATTAACACATCTCCTCCTTCCAACAGCCTTATGAGCTAGGTACTATTATCCTTATTTTACAGATGGGGGAACTGAGGCACACAGAGGTAACTACATTTGCCAGAGGTTACCAGCAGATACCTGGTAGAACCTGGGTTCCAATCTAAACTGAGGGGTGTGAGCCCATTCTCTTAAGCTCCCCCTTTGCTGCCTGAGATAATTTAGCCCCTCGAGCGGTAAGGGCTCGGTGGTGGCCTCTGGGATAGCTGCTAACATTTTTACTCTTCCGAGCAGCTTGCCCCAACCCCAAACATCACTCACTGCCCATAACGTTTATTTATACCTCGCCCTCCCGACCTTGGGTGGGCTTTCTACTCTGAACCTCTCTGCCTGCACGCCCAGGTAGCCCCAGCCTCCAGCCCCAGGGGCACGGCCAGGGCACTTCCTGTATCAGGGCCTGACCGGCTGGTTCCCTCCCAGCACAGGTGGCACCTCTGATAATGGTTTGGGGAATGAGGTGTCCAATGCTGGCAGAGAGGTCCCAGACTGAAAGGGCCGGACGGCCAAGCCTCCGCTCCAGGCGGGCCCGCGAGGTCCCGGCCGCAGTATGGAGAAACTTCAACGTGGGAGAAACCGGGGCAGGTGACCATGCTTAATTCCAAATCTTAACATTTACTTCAACTACCAGCTCATTTAAAAACAGAAGAGAAGAAAAAGAAAAACCTTGGAGTTACTGTCCCAAGTCACACAGCAACTCAGTGGCCTCTGCCCTTACTACCAAACCGCGAGGTTAAGCTAAGCCGACCGCACCACTGTCTCCGCGGCAGTGAGCGCCTTCCACCCGGCCTGCGGCAGCTTCGCCCTTGACCCTGGTTCGGCGTTCTCCCACCGGCCGATGCGGGCACACACCCCAGCCCACGCCAAACGGGGAACGCACGGCTGGGCAAGGGAGACATCCCTTGTGCGGGGGGGCCCCCGCACGGTTTTAGGGTCAGGGGAATGGACTGTAAGCTGATCGTTGCCTTTTAGTTCCGGGACAAGAAGAGCGCCAAAACAGCCTGAGTCACCAACGGCCGCCACCTGCCGGAAGCCACTGCTCGGGCGTCCTCTTCCAGCTAGAGAGCCGCGTTTCCCGTGAGCCCGCGGGCGCTCGAGGACTACGACTCCCGGCATGCTTCGAGGCCGCTGGAGTTAACCCTTCGGGGCCCGCAGCCTCCTCCCAGCGCCCCGCCTCCGCCCTTACCTGGACCCCGCAGGGTGAGTTTTTGGGAGCTGGGGAGGGACTCTTTCCTTTATTTAAGCTTGATTTAAGGTATGCGTGCGTGCGTGCGTGTGCGTGTGTGTGTGTGTGTGTGTGTGATGTATTCTGGGAGGGTGGAATGATTCTGATTTTTCTAAAATGGGACAATGTTCAGTAATGAGATTCAGACGCATTTTTTGCAAGTGGGAGACAGATTCAACTCTCTGAACCCCAGGGTCTAAGTGGAATCACTACTATCTTCCTCAGAACGCTGCCTAAATCCTTTCCTTCCTTATCCCTAGAACAAAATAGCCAGCAACCTCTCCCCTCTCCCAACCCACCTCTGACTTAGACCCTACCCTGGTGTCCCCGGCAAGGTTTGGGACCTGGAGCCAGTGTCAGGGTTATTATTCTCTGGTTGGGGGTTAAGTACCTGGAGAGCCCATAGGACCTCCCACATCCTTTTTATTAGAGATTTTAGAATTTAGGTCCTTTGCCTCTCAGGGCCTGCCCTTCCCCTCAGGTGCCACCACAGAGTGAGTCCCTGCAAGTTCAGCAGGCACCCTGCCTTTGTCGGACTTGAATGACCGTGGGCTTGTGCAAAAGGGTTCCTTCCTTGGGATTATGGGTGGTGGGTGTTAAACCTGATCCTTGCCCCCACCCTCACCCTTAATACAATACTGGGAAAGGAGACAATGGGGGGTGTCACACTCCTCTTTCTGATACTATTCTTTATCTACATTGTGCACAATCCCAGTTCTGGGCTGGGAGGGAGGGCAGCAGGGACTGTAAGATTTGGGGATTATTAGTCTGTGGGGTCAACTACCCCTGCTTCTCAACCGTGGTCAGAGGGAAGTGGAGGACCTGCTTGTTTTTTTCACCTTTCACTGCTCCCAGACCCCAATTTTTTTTTAAGATGTTATTTTTGAGTAGTCTGCACCCCCAATGTGGGGCCCGAACCCACAACCCGGAGAGATCAGGAGTTGCATGTTCTACTGACTGAGCCAGCCAGGTGCCCCTCCCAGACCCCACTTTAACAATCCTACTTCACAAGGCCCCCCTCCCTGCCTCAGCCTTTAAGAACCTAAAGCTGCTAGAAAAAAGGGCTACTCTGTGTCAGGGGCTTGAGGCCTGGAATACCTGGATCCTCTTCTTTGCTTCACCCCTATGTCAGTGTCTGTCACTGGCAAGCATCCTATCCTTACCCCGGAGGTTGACTCCCTCATTCTGGGCAGTCTCTGGCTTCCTTCCCCTGCCCCCAAAGGGGCCATTGTTCTGGCCAGCATTTGGGGCCGAGTGAACAGAAGAGAGAAGACCTTGGGGCAGGAGTCCTGAACCATAGGAGTCCAGGGCAGGCCAGCATATCTCTCCTCTATCTCACCCTCCCCACCGCCAACTGGCTCCCTGCCCCTGCCCCCGCCCCTTGACATCCCAGACTCCCTGGCTATTTAAACAGAGATGGGTGCCCCCATCGGCACACTGTCCTTTGGCCACCGGACATCATGCCTCCCAAGAAGGATGTTCCCATGAAGAAACCAGCGGGACCCTCTATTGCCAAGCCTGCTGCCAAACCAGCAGCAGGGGCCCCTCCAGCCAAGACCAAGGCTGAGCCAGCTCCAGCTGCCCCTCCCGCCCCTCAGAAAACCCAGGAGCCCCCCATCGATCTCTCCAAAGTGGTGGTGAGTCCCGGGAAAGTGAGGAAAGAATTTGGAAGGGATGATACAGGGTGGGAAACAGCCTAGGGGATTTGGGGGTATCTAGAAGACAGGGAATCAGTAAGCACTGGACAGATATTAGAGATTTCTCTTAGTCCCCCCTTTGGAAGCATCCAGGCTTATGACTCTGCTGTTCTTTTTTGTTCTCTCCCTCTAACCTATAACATGTGTGTGGGTACGTACACACATTCTCACTGACCCCCGTGCTGGAGGCAGGGACCCGTGAGATGGGGAACATCTGGGTTCTGAGGACAGTTTCAAGGTGAAGAGAGGGAACTGGTGCCTGTTTCTGGCTGACAGTTCAATTCTAAAAGCCACAGCCCTGAACCCCAGGAGGGAAGGCTGAAGAGGACAGACTTGTTAGACAATCACAGCTGGGGGCCAGGGGTAAATTTAGCTTTTGTTCAGTCCCCAGTTATGTGAGGGATGCAGAGCTCAGGGCCCTGGAGGGAGGGAAACAGGTGGCATGGGATTAACCCTGTTCCCAGGAAACCCTCCCCCCCATAATTCCCCCTCTTGGGATTCTCCCAAGGTCCAGAGCTGGGAATGGGACTGAGGTGGCTGGGCTCCCCGCCTGGTCTCGTTGAGCCCCTCCCCAGAAGTGGCTGCCAGTTGGTTGGGAGGAGTGCTGGAGAGAGATTGAATGAGCCCTGTCATCCCTCCTCACCTGCTCTTTTCTTCCACAGATCGAGTTTAACAAGGATCAGCTGGAGGGTGAGGCGAAGCTGGTCCCTTAAGCTCCACGGTCTAGTCCCAAGCCCCTGGTCAGATCCTCTTTCTATTCCCGACTCCAGTCCCAACCTTGAAAACTTCCACGCTAGTGGTCTTTGTGTCCCCTATTCTGCCCAGCCCTAGCACATAGTTTCTGAACCTCCTTTCTGTCGGGGTGGGGGAGGGGTGGTGATGGGAAACCCTGGTCCCAACACTGACCTCTTCTTGTACTTCAGAGTTCAAGGAGGCCTTTGAGCTGTTTGATCGAGTAGGGGATGGCAAGATCCTGTACGGTCAGTGTGGGGATGTGATGAGGGCCCTGGGCCAGAACCCCACCAACGCCGAGGTGCTCAGGGTCCTGGGGAACCCCAAGAGTGATGGTGAGGGGGACGCCTGGAACAATGCGGGTTTTCGGGGTGGTGGTGGAACCGAGGAATGTTGGCAAGGTGACAAAGGATACTGGGGTGGGTCTCAGGACTTCAAAAACTGTCAAACTCCGGGTAGAAAAACAAACTGAATGTTGAACAGGATGAAAGCCTTCGTGGTAGGGATGGGAGCTGGGTGCAAGGTGACTCTACAGTGACCTCTCCCTCCCCTTTCTAACCTCTAGAGCTGAAGTCCCGGCGTGTGGACTTTGAGACTTTCCTGCCCATGCTCCAGGCCGTAGCCAAAAACCGGGACCAAGGCTCATATGAGGACTACCTGGAGGGGCTTCGGGTGTTTGACAAAGAGGGGAACGGCAAAGTCATGGGAGCAGAGCTCAGACATGTCCTCACCACCCTGGGTGAGGCAGGGACCAGAACTCCTGTGGGTTGGAGAGGAGGGGGTGGACCAAGAAGGTTAGCCAAGTAGGCAGAGCCAGGGAAGGATTATCGGCCTATAGGTCATGGGCAGGAGACTGAGAAGGTCAGAGCCATGGCGGCAGAATCTGAAGGGCTTCTTCCTGCAGGAGGTGAAGTGAGGGTACATGCAGATGCCTCCCAAAGGACAGAGGAAAGGGGATGAGGTGGAAAACTTGATGTTCTGTGGTGGAAGAGATGCTTGTGCTCTGTGATCTTGTAGCCCCTTAACCCTCTGGAATCCACTTTCCCTCTGTCAAAGCTTTCACCAGGTGCTAATGCAGATGAGATGGAAAGCAAGATGCAGGGACACATTCGAGCTGTTACCATTACAAGGAGAGGATCCCTTTGGGGTTCTGTTGCTATGAGCAAGTTTCCAAGGGTGGGAGAAGAGAAGGTACCACCCAGAAGAGAAAGGCCTGGTTGGGGAAGGAGGGAGGGCAGGGACTAAAATTCTATGTCTCGGGCTCAGGAGAGAGGATGACTGAAGAGGAGGTGGAGACTGTTCTGGCAGGACACGAGGACAGCAATGGCTGCATCAACTATGAAGGTGAGGAGCCAAAGGAGCAGAAGGGACAGGGGAGGAGGGGAGGCAGAAGGCTCGCGGTGTGTGGGTGGGGACACCCGGGGCCTGGATTGTCTAAAATCAGATGGATTATCGAAGGGTCTGCTTCTGAACCTCTCTTGCCTCCTCTCTACAGCCTTCCTGAAGCACATCCTAAGCGTCTGAGCTCTCCAGGTAGGGCTCCCCACACCCCACCTGGAGAGGCAAGTTTCCTTTCCTTCCCGCAGCCAGGGCAGAAAAGCAGGGAAGTGCGTTTTCGTGTCCTCCTGCGCGCGAGCGACAGGCCTTGGCAGCTTTCGTCTTTTTCCACAGATGCAGCGGGGTCGGACACTGCCCCCCTTCCCCGGCAGGCGGAAGCACGTTCCTGCCACTAGGAGGCCACCTCTTGTTTCAAAATAAAGAGACGATTCCTCCCTAGGCGTCCGACTGTTGCTTTCTTCAGTCGTGGGACGGGAGGGGGGGGGTTAGGGAGGGAGGGGGGGCGGGCAGGGGGGGCTCTCCTCTCCCCAATCCGATATCCTCTGATCTTCCCGCTGCACGGAGGAGCAGCTTCCCCACGCCCCGCTCGACCCGCTTCGGCGGTTTCCTCCCCCCAGCTAGGGCTATGCAGGAGGAAGCAGCAGCGGGCCCCGCCCACCTCATTACTAATGTAGCGATATTATCTGCATAAAGCCAGGCCGGGACTCCTATTGGCTGGATCAGCTGAGGGTGACGTCACTGGGACGTACTAAGACTAGGGTTGGGCCGGGAATCGGAGCCATTACTGCAGGAAAAGGTCCCGCGGAGCGGAGCCGTCAAGATGGTGGGGCCCGGGACCTGGAACGATGAGCGGGATTTGGGGCGAGAGGCGGGAAGTCGGGGGTAGGGGTTTGCAAAGGGAACCTGAGGGCCTGGAAGGTCGGGGGTGGAGTTGGAAAGTTTGGGGGTCCGGTCCTGTCGGGAAGCGAGTCCCCCCCACGGAACAGGAGTTTGTGGGACTGGGATGGAAGCTTGGGGGATAGGGGTTCAGATGCTGACTGCTCCCCTCTTCTCTGAGCAGTGTGACTTCACCGAGGACCAGACTGCAGGTAAGTAATCTCTGGCCCCTACTGAGGTCATGTTTAGGGAGAGGGACCCCCGCCTCTAGCACCTACCTCCTAACCCCAACCTGTCATCTCTTCAGCACCCCCAGGGAAGTACTTCCTGGATCCCCTTCTCCTTCTTTCTGGATCCTCCATTTTCTTTTCTCACTCTTTCTTCCTCCCTCCCCTTCCACTCTAGATCCGAGCCCCAAGCCCCGGGTGAGTTTTAGGTGGTGTGGGTATGTGAAACAACTTGGTCGCCTAATGCCTGCTGTGTGTGGTGTGGGGAGGGTGTATTAAGTTGCCTGTGGTCCTGTCCTTTAATCAGCTTCTGCCTCTTTTCTCCTCCTGTGATAACCCCCGCCCCAGCTTGGAATTGTTAAGATTGTAAAAAGCAGTGACCTGGAATTTTGAGGAAATGGGGACAGGGGGATTTGCTGAGGACACTTCACAGCTGTACCCTCTGAAGGTCTCTTTCTGTACAGGAGGGGTTGGAAGTGGCAGGCTGGGATGACCCCAGTCCCAGGCTGCTGCTCCCACTTCCTTATAAGGACAGGACCCAGACAGGGCGGTGGCAAATTCCTGCCCTGAGCAGAGTAGTGAGGCTGGGCAGGCTTGCCTTAGGCACAGGGGCCTGTGAATGGATGTTACCGTTCTGCCCAGGGGGGAGGAAGGCTGTGTCATTATGTGGGACACCTGTGTTGGGAGGCAGGGACACTAGGTCCCTCTTACTGGACTTGGGTATACAGTGATACAAATACCTGGTTTCCTCAGCATGAGCAAAGTTGAATGGGCAGAAGGGGTTGTGAGGGAGAGTATGGGTTAACCCCCATATGCTCAGTGCTGATGTGTATCTCAATCTTCAGAGTTCAAGGAGGCCTTTCAGCTGTTTGACCGGACAGGGGATGGCAAGATCCTGTACAGCCAGTGTGGGGACGTGATGAGGGCCCTGGGCCAGAACCCCACCAACGCCGAGGTGCTCAAGGTCCTGGGGAACCCCAAGAGTGATGGTGAGGGTCCTCACGAACAATTTCTCAGTGTGGTAATGGGTCTACAGTTCTTCAGCTGAGAGCTTCCCTTTATCTTCATAGGCCCAGGACTCAAGCAGGTTTGTCTCAACTAGCAAATCCCACAGATTTCTCCTGCTTTGAGTGGGAGCCACCTGCTCACTTGTGGTCCCCGTAATCTCCTCAGTCCTGAGAACCCATGTGACTTTCCTTCCACCTCCTTTATGGCAGAGATGAATGTGAAGGTGCTGGACTTTGAACACTTCCTGCCCATGCTGCAGACTGTGGCCAAGAACAAGGACCAGGGCACCTATGAGGACTATGTCGAAGGCCTTCGGGTGTTTGACAAGGAAGGGAATGGCACGGTCATGGGTGCTGAAATCCGGCATGTTCTTGTCACCCTGGGTAAGGCTCTGCCCTTGCTCCTTGAGCGGAGGTGCCGCCTGATACACACCTGCCACCCAGTTCCCAAAATGCTTTTTCTCTTTCCCTCTGCAGGTGAGAAGATGACGGAGGAAGAAGTAGAGATGCTGGTGGCAGGACATGAGGACAGCAATGGTTGTATCAACTATGAAGGTGAGGGATGAACTGGGGCTCTCGTGAAGCAAGCTGTCCAGGCAGGTCATGCCTGGCGTTTGGGGCTCTCCCTGCTCCCTGGGTTCCAAAAAGCCAGGAGGCAAGGAGCAGGGCCCAGCCTGGCCCAGGAGTGGGAGGCCATGGGAACAGGACAGGAAAGGAAGGGATAATGTGTGAAGGGGGTGTGTGTGGGGGAAGGAATGGGGAGTCAAATCAAGGGAATGTCTGTTCCCCTACTGCCTGACCCCTTCACCCCATGTCTGTGTCTGGTCTTCACCATGAATGTCTCTTCCTTCCTGCAGCATTTGTGAGGCATATCCTGTCTGGGTGACGGGCCCAGTGGGGCGGGTACGGCTCCTCCCAGCCTCCCCTTCTCTAGTTGCCCCCTCCCCAGTGTTTTTCTGCCCAAGCTCTGCTCTCTAGCCCTTGCCCTACCCCTACTACCATCTGACTTCCTCCTAGCATGTTTCTGCATGGAGCTGACTGGGGAGGGGAGGGGAGGGGTTCCTCAAAGAGGAAGACAGCCTGGGGGTGTGGTACCTCCTTTTCTCCTAGAATGGGCTCTGAGGTTTTGCTTATAGGGCCTGGGGTGCTCGTGTCTGGGAACTCGCACCGGCCTGTCCCCGTCTTGCTTCAGGGTGATCTTTTGGCCCTGGGGATAGGTGGTTGCATAGGGGGGTTGGTTGCCTGCCCCATCGTGCTGCTATAGCTGATTAGTCTTTTCTTCTTCCTTCTGCTGGGCAGCTTGGAGGTACCCTAACCCAAACCTCTGTCTTCTCCTGCCAATGGCTGACAGTAGCTGTAGGTGTAGTTGAGAACTTCTCTGCCTCCTGCTGTGTCCTTGCTGCTCAGGGTGGGGTGGAGGAGCTAACAGTGGGTGGGAGGGGAGCTGGGGGCCGAGAGAACTGGGCAGACTCAAGGTGGCTCCTCTGCAAAGCCAAGGTTGGTTTCTGCGGGCACGCTCCTGTGCTACCCTTGTGGTCCTATGGTCTCCTGGCCCCTGGTGGACCCCTCCCCGCAGCCCTACTCCCTGGCTCACCCGTCTCTCTGATCCACAGAGCTCGTCCGTATGGTGCTGAATGGCTGAGGACGTTCGAGCCCTGTGTCTTCCCCTGTGTGAGACTGCATGTAGCCCTGAAGGCGTCCTAGGTCCTCCTGTCACAGCACCTTCGCCAGCTCGTCTCTCTTGGATGATATTTGCTGTCAGCATTCACCAAATAAACTTGCTCTGTGCCCTAAGCATGGTTCTGCTTTCCTTTGTGAGCAGGGTGAAGGGGAGGAGAGACCATCTAGGGTCAACAGACCAGGGGCTGGGAAAGCTGGGGGAAGGGCTGGTAGGATCCATCTTTGTGTCATTTAAGAGATGCTGGCCCCATTCATTGATGCCACTACAAAGGCTACCCCTTGGGGGATTAAGGAAGCCATACATCCCTGTAGGACCAGGGCTGACCGTCCTCATTCTCTTACCCAGGAGGTCCTCCTAGCCCTCCGACTGGTTAAACCCAGCCCTCACCCTCCCAAGCACTGACGGCCTTTGGTGGGGAAAGCCCAGGGAGTGTCTGATGGAGAGAACGCCAGGCCCAGTCAGCACTGCCCAAGCCTGTCACTTCGGCAGGGCTAGGGGCCAGTAACAACACAAGTACGTGAGATGCCTGCCTTCTTCCCGCCTAATAAGGGAAGGAATGAAGCCCTTACTTCTGCAAGGATAAATATACAAAATCTCCAGGTTGTGAGGATGTCCTTCCAAGTCTCAAACAGCTATTTTTGGGGCAGGTGAGGGCCGGTACCCGGCTCCCGTACCCACACACAGCCCAACAGCTGTGCCGCCTGCAGCCCGTTGCGGAGAGAGGCCCAGGGTCTGCGGGCCCGTGGCAGCAAATGCCCCTGGGAAGGACTCCGGGAAGGCTGCCCCCAGCCCGAATCCCCCTGCCTGACAGCCACGGGTCAGAGAACACAGAAGGCATTCACAAGATGGAACTGAAAGCAAATTAATTTATAAAAAAAAAAAAAAAAAAAGAAAGAAAGAAAGAAAGAAAAAGGAAAAGAAAAGAAAAAAGAAAATTTACAGAAAACTTTTGAACAGAAGAAAGGTGCCAAGACGCAGAGGAAGAGAAACACGGGGACGTGAGGAACAAAGGCCTGGTGGGAGGGGCCAGGAAGAACCGGTGGAGAGCCTGGAGTCCGGGCTGCCTTCACGTCAAGGATGAAGAAGGGAAAGGTGGTAGGGGAGGCAGTGGAATCCAGGAGCAGAGCCGAGCTGCAAGCTGGGGGTAGGCACTACCCTGGGTCTGGCACCCCTCCTCCACTGTCCCCAAATCCCAGGGAACCCCTAGCTACCAGTCAAGGTTCTGATGGTCTTGGTGGAAGAGGTTAGAGGGGTGACCCACCAAGTCATAAGAAGGAGGTGCTTAAGTGCTTTTTGAAAAATTCAGGTTTTTACAACTCCCCCTCCTCTCTAGCTCCCCTCTGCATGTCTTCTAAGAGCCCAGGGAAAGGGCCCAGGGAGGAGGGACAGGGCCCTTTTTTCCTCTATTACCTACCACAGGAATCCCCAAAATACGTTTCCCCACCAAATACACATACGCTGACATCAACTACGCAGGTGACTTTTAAAAACACAAAACTGACATTCAGGGGGAAAGGGGTCATTTGCTGAGCTGGGGTGGCCTAAAACAGCAACGCTGAGGAGGCAGCAGGAGAGATCAGTAGGAATAAACTGGGGTTGGGGTGGCTGAGGGGGTTTAGGAGTGGATTCGGTCACTAATGAGGGACT